AGAGTCCAGCTTCTGGAAGAAAACCCTCAACACAGCCAGGAAAAGAGTTTGCATTGCATGTACCATTTTTATTTTCACATATATATATTACATCATTTTAAAACAGAATATTTGTGAAAGAAATATTTTATTTTCAGGTAAAAGCAACTCACCATGTTCCACACAGCCCCTTTGCCTGCCTTTTAAAGATCATCTGCAGACAAAGCCTGTTCCCCACCTCCCTGTTGCTACTGGAACAACCTGTAGTTGTCTTTTCCTCCTCCCCCTGGGAAGAAAAGCTGTGTACCAGTCCCTTCCCTCCAGAGTCAGTGCAAAGCAGCTCCATCATATACCCCATCCCTTTCCTGCAGTGCTGGGAGAGGGCTGAGGCTTCCTGGAGGAAGGAGCTGTGTGAAACACCTTGTGCTTTGATACTGTGAAAAAGACAAGGAAGAACCAGTTACAGTGTGGATTCAAGTATCCGTGTAAAACCCATCACACAGCTTCACAGAAGGCTGCCACCAGTCCTGACCAGTAAAAGACTGGTGTACTTGCCAGCCTGATCCCCACCATGCCTGGTGCTTGGCAGGGATGGCTCAGGGTCTGGCTCAAGGCACAAGGAATGGCAGGAAGGGTGAGGTGGTTCTGACATGCAGACTAACAGCTCAGGCAGGTTTCTGTTCATCCAGAGGGGAAGAGCTGGAAGAGAGTGGGAGCAAAAGCAAATGCTCTCAGATAGGCTTGGTAAATGAGATTCTTCCTTCAGACTCTCCCCCTTTTTCTGTGCATCCCTGAATGCACAGGGATAATAACCTTCAGAATGAAATTCCTCTGCCTACCCTCCTGAGCACACACACTTCTGCTTGAACAAAGAGTTCTTTGCCCAGACAGGCTCCCAGTGCCACATCCCCTTAGCACCAGTCAGTCCTTCCTCACATGCAGCCCAGCTGGGGTCTCTGCTGCCAGAACCCAGTGTGTCCACCAAGCCCTGCAGTGATTAGGCAGCCTTGCTTTGGGGTGGGGGTCAAACTTTCCTTCCAACCCAAATGATTCAGTGAACAATCCTCTCCTTGTCAACAGCCATGGCAGAACCTTCTCCTCATCTTCTGCCTTTGTTTTCCAGTTGAGGTGTTCCCATCTTTGTTTCCCTTACCAGGGTTAGAAGCCAAAGCCCTGGGGGCAGCAGCCCCAGTAGCACCACAAGGGCTAAGGAGGGGGCAGCAGGGAGACCCTGCTGCTCTGTGCATCAGATGGGCTTGATTGTCTACAAGGTACAATATGTGCCTGGTTTGGTCATTAAACAAAGTTCACACGAGTTAAAAAACATTGTATTTGATCAAGGCTTTATCCCTGCAGAGTCAAGTGGGTGACTCAGCCCTGTAAGGAAAGTTTGGGCCTATTCTAAGAACACAGGCTTAGCTAGAGCTCTGGCTTTCATACCAGAGATGTACCCTGTTGGTTTTTGTTTTGTTATTATTGTAAAAATGGCTCCTGGCACCAGAGGAAAAGCCTTCTGCACATAGTCAAGGTGGCCTGTGGTACCTTTGTCCACACCCCCTGCCCAAACTCTGCCAAGTGGGGCTTTGAGGTAGATACCTGCTGCAGCTCCCTGGAGAGGGTGACCAGAGCACCTGCTTCTGGGGATGGACAAGCCCTCTCACCTTGCTCTGCTTTGAGCCCAGCAAATCCAACCCCACTGCAGCCTCTTCCTGCCCCCCTGAAGGACTCAGCACCTTCCCCAACAGCAGCCCAGCACAAACCAGTGATGCCTGCCTTTCCTATGGGTCAGGGCACATGGCTCTGGGTGTGCAGCCCACAGCTGACAGATACCCAGGTCATCTGGACAAAGAGGGGGACCTTGAAAGGGGTTTTTCCCCTTCTGGGGGAGCTCAGCCCCTCTGCCCACGGGACCAGCACCCAGGGGGCTCTGCCTGCGGTGCTGTTGCCATCCAGTGACAGGACACAGAACTACAGACCCGTTCACAGTCCCAGTTCAAGCTTTTTTCCACTAAGTAACCAGTATCATGAAGGCTGGGAGAAGTGAGAGCTGAGGGAGACAATATGCTGATATCCTGAGAACAATCCTCCCTGCAAATCCCCTGAGAAAACGGATAAAATGGAACTTTTCCTTTGCTACAGCACCTAATTTAAAAGCTCCCTTCTCTGTCCTGGTAATCACAGACTTTGCTAAGGCTTGATCATCTATCAGAGAGCTGAAAAATGTTCTTGACTCACAGTCGGCTGACCTTACAGCTGAATGTGGTTTGCAAGGTGAAACACCTTATCTGGAAGATGAGAATAAATTAGGAGCAGCTTTTTGTACAAGCAAAAGTTCTCTCTGATCTATTAGAGTTCTTGGACTGTGAAGTAGTGAATAAAAACTGATGTACTGTTTTCTTTCCAAGGGCCTCTGAAAGAGTCTTGCTGGGGACACAACCAAGCCAGACAACGAGCCCAGACCACAATGACATGGCAATAATGTGTCTGATTAAGAGAAAAGGAAGAAACAATTAGTAGTTCATTTTCATCGTGGCAAAAAGGCTCCATCTGGTGGCGTTTTCACCCAGAAAAGAAGGGAAGGTGTGGGGATGGGAAACTGCAGATGATGCCAAGTTGGTTAGACTGGATCACACCAGTGAAGAGTCTTGAGATCTTGATGAAAACTCAAGATGTGAGACAGGTGGCACGATGGTAAGTGAAGTTGTGTGGGGATAAATGCAAAAAAATACACGTGCAAGGGAAGAGATGAGCAGAGTGGGTGTTGAGCTGCTCCAAGAGGGCCAGCATAGCCACAAAACCTGAGCATGGCCAATCCACTGGAGGCTTGTGCTGCTCAGCACAGAGAAAACTAATAAAGCAACCAAAACAGAGATACATAGAAGAGGAATATTATAGCAAATATTTTAATGCATTTCTGCTAAGCACAGTCCAGGGAACTCCACCAGGGGAAAGCAAGACTGCAGAAACAGTCAGGGTCCAAATGCTAAGCACAAAAAAACCCTGACAGAGAAACAAGCTGAAAGGTTTGCTGTTCTTATGCTAAAAGAGGCAGAAAGGTGAGGGATGTGTTATAAAATTCTGGCTAAGCCTCTGCAGCTGCAAGGAGAAAGGATGAGGGGTGTCCTGTCTGTGCTCCAACAGGACATGTAGGAACAAGCAGAAACTGCAGCAGGGGAGAAGCACTGAGGAAAAAAAAAATCTACCTGAAGGTAAAAATTAAGGTAAAGCTGGGGAGGCAATACTGGAGGGGTTTAAAAACGGGTTAGACTGTCAGGGATGCCCTTTGTCCCGGGGGGGAAAGGGGCTGGTCCTCTCTGACCCTTCTTGGGTGCAGGAGGTGACACCAGGCAGGGCTGCAGGCCAGCCTGGCTCTGCCCAGTTTGGGCATCCCTGTGCCACAGTCAGAGCACTGTCAGCTGGGGTCACCAGCCTGTTTTGTGGGAGCAATACCAGGCAAGTTCCATGTTCCAGCCATCATGGAAAGGCTCCAGAGGGCAGGAGGGCTCAGCCTCTTTAGGGCTGTTACTATTTTCCTACTCCCATTGTCTCAAGCTCCAGCCCAGAAGGGCTCTGTCTGCATTATAAGGAGCCCAGACATAGGACCACTGCTCCTTTCCTATTTCCCAGGTCCCTCCAGCTCCTTCCCCAGCTGGCTGACCTGCCCTAGGAGGTGGGTAATGCTGGAATAGGGTGAGTTTGGCTCAGACAAGGCTAGTCACAGTTTCAAGCCTTACAGAGTCACCTGGAGTAAAAAGAACAGAGCTAAACCATGCAGTCCATGCTGGGACACTCTCCCTATTTTTCAAAAGTCAGGAAGATTTGGGATGGGAGAATGGAATCTGCTTCCCTCCCTCCCCAAAAGACCATTTTTAAGGGTTAGTTATGAACGGAACAAGGTCAAGTCACTTCCCAAAGACACTGTGCCTAGAAGAGGCTGGGCTCTGTTCTCTGGGCAGCTATAAAACATCACAGCCCTGGGCTCCAGCAGGGCACGGCTGCACCATCCTGCCCAGCTGAGCTCAGAAGGCAAAGAGCTGATGCAGGGATGGGATGCAGCTCTAGTGCCTCCCACTGGGAGCAAGGGAGACCAACTGGTCTCACTTGGGCTGCTCGTTTGCCAGCATCAAGTGTATGGAATGGATCCAGCAAAGCTAGAGGGAGGGCAGGCAGACACTGACCATTAGTCACCCCCAAACTGTTTAGTGTTTGGAAACCTGCTGGTACTCCCTGGGGCTGCTGGCACACGGCCTGTGAGCCCAGCACCTGCACCAGCCCTGGGAGCTGCAGGTCTCCAAGTTCAGGCCATGGCAGGTGGGACCTGCCTGCCAGCACTGCCAGATGTTGCCAGCACTGCCAGATGTTGCCAGCACTGCCAGGTCCCAGGTAGTTAGTTGGGTGTGTTTCTTTATAAAGGGGCAGGGATGCTTGTTAAAAGCATCCCTGCTCATGTAGTTGGGCTCAGAGAAGGTGAAAGCAAGCCCCACATGGGCTTTTCTAATGCTGGCCTGCCCCTCCAGTGACTCAGACAAGTGCAGCAACCAAGGCTGCAATCCCTCCTCACATAAAGGCATGGTCTACGTTTGCCATCAGCAAACAGGGAGCTCTGTCCCTGCCCAAGGAGTGGACAAGACCCACATACTCACACACACACACATGCACACACTGGCATTATTAAACAACACATTTGTTTCCCCAGACTCTTGTCTCTGGAGGAGCCTGTTCTGCCCAGCTGCTGCACGCTGGGAGTGTCATGGGGAAGTTCTGTCCTCAGCAGCTAAGAAGGGCAGGAAACAGACAACAAAGTTGAACCTTCTCCCCCGAAACTGCTGCTCTCCACCGCTCCTGGTGGTGTCTGCATAGATGGCAGAGACCCTGGGCCCTGTGGCAGGAGGGTCACAGGTCCAAGCTGCTCTCTATCTCAGAGGTTCCTTGAATTCCCCCTCTCTTGGGAGATGTCAATGCAGAGCAGAGAATTGAGAGAGAGCTTGGCCGGACCCCCCCAGGCTCTGCCCCCACGTCAGTCAGGACCTGAAGAAGCGTCGTACCACTAAGTGCCCCACCATGACCAGGGCCACCACCACCAGCATGTACTTCATGTAAACATTGTCCAGATCGAGTGCAGCCACCTGATGGGAAACAGAGAATCAGAATCACAGAATCACCAAGGCTGGAAAAGACCTTTAAGATCATCAAGTCCAGCCTGTGACCTGACACCACCACATCTCCAGACCATGGCACTAAGTGCCACTTCCAGCCTTTCCTTCAACACCTCTAGGGATGGTGCCTCCACCACTTCCCTGGGAAGGCCATTCCAAGGTCTGATCACCTTCTCTGTGAGCAAGAACTTCCTAATACCCAACTTAAACCTCCCCTGGAGCAGCTTGAGGCTGTGCCCTTTTGTCTTGTTGCTCGTCACCTGGAAAAAAGATCCCATCCCCACCTCCCTTCGGGGAGCTGAAGAGAGCGAGAAGGTCCCAGAAGAACCAGGGCACATTCCACCTGCCTGCAGATCTCAGCAGCTCCCCAGGCAGGAGCACAGCTTCCCTCCCCTTCCCCTGACCCCCCTGGGCTCACCCATCCTCCCTGCTGGGCGATCCAGCGGGCGATGCGGTTGCGGAGCATGAACTCGGCGACGTAGCGGGCGATCCTGCGCAGGAAGCCCGGGATGCCCTGCTGGTAGACGTGCAGGGCCATGCGGTACCCGAAGCCCAGCAGCGCGATCACCCGCCCCCAGTTGATGCCGCTCTCAAACAAGCTGAAAAACAAAGCCCGTGGGCTGAGTCGATCCCTGCCAGGATCCCTCCTCCCTGCAGTCTTCCAGCGGGTTGCAGAGCAGGGCTCTGAGATGGGGCTGCACCTCCAGGTGCATCCCAGCCATGCAGACAAGGGAGGATGCTCTGGGGCTAAGCACGTGGCTGCCTGTATTCAGGAGGTGCTTTCAGAGCAAATTATCTCGGCCCCAGCTGCTGTTCACCTCAGCCAGGTGGGTTAGGGATGTCCAAGGGAAATGTCCAAATCCTGTCAACAAAGCTACAGGGTCTGAATTGCTGGAGAGGAAGCTCTGGGACAGTGGCTGCTGACCTGACACCTTCCAGCCCATCCTCAGCTGCCCACAGGTCCCATGTGCTCATGGACACAGTTATGAAACAAGGTAAAGCTGGAACTGGGGGTGGTTTAAACCATCAGGCTGTGGGCACAGCAAGCTCAGCAGCTGCTGCACATGCAGCCAGGAGCAGGAACCTGCCTGTCCCAAAGCATCCCTTGCCTGTGCCTGTAGGTAAGGAAGTTTAAATATATGTGAGGACAAAGCATGTTAGAACAGGATTTTCCCTTTTCCTGTATAGATGAACCTCTCCAAGACCAAAACCTGATCTGATCTTGCCTTAGTCTGAAACTCCCAAGGGCTGGGAGGGCTGAACAATGTGTGTCTGGTCAATGCCCACTGCTCCTGATCCAGGATTTGGTTGCTGTGGGCACAAAATGCTGTGGGCAGGTCTGACACTGATTTTATTGAGACCAATTTTTGAGGATCTTTTTTCTCCTGATTCCCATCAAGACAAGCAAGGAAGAAAAAAAAAGGAAAATAAATAAATGTAAAAAGAGCAGACTCAGGCCCTGCTTTCATCTGGTGCCCTGGTCCTGGTGGTCCCTGCCTGCACAGCTGAAGGGAACTGTCTTCCCTGCAGAACCTTCGTCTGGAGCTGTCACCGTGCAGAGGGAGAGGGAAGTTAGAGCCCGGGAAGGAACAACAGAGAAAGAGGCAGCACAAAGGGAGGGACAGATGTTAATTTACCTGTTTGCGGCGCGAGAACCGCCTCAGGCTGGCAAAGCGGTGAGAGCAGCAGCGTGACTTCCCCAGGAGAGGGAGCAGGAGGAGGACAGAAGAGAGGCCGTTAGACACACACACCGAGCAGGGGGGGCACGGGGCTGTTTTCAGAGGAGCCACGGGAACCCATGGGACCTGGGAACCCAGAGACTTTGGCTTCTCTCCTGGCTCTGACAGATGTCTTCTGCAGGACCCTGGGCAAAGCACTGAACGTGCCTTGTTGCCCTACAGACAGAGAGGGGTGATGGCTGAACCCCTTGATGGGCACCTCCATCCAAGCCTGTGCCTCAGGCAATCTGGGCAGTAAGTTGTCCTGGTGTTTGCCTTTGCTCTTCACCCTGCTGCTGAACTGTGAGTGGGTGACCATCATCTGCAAGAGATGCCTGCAGGTCTGCAGAGCGTCCCCCATCCTGAGTTACTCCAGTCCTGTTCCATGTGGATCATGCCAAGCACAACAGTATCTATCCATCCCCACAGCCTGCTCTGTGCCTCTGGAAAGCCTGGCCCATTGGGACTTCCCAGCTACCAAGCAGCAACAGGTCATACCCCTGAAGGGCAGGTGGGATGATCACTTGGTTACTGATGCACAGGCCACACTTCCCAGGCACATCCCCCAAATTTTCTGACCCAAATCAGCTTGTGCAAGGACGGTGAGATGATTGTCAGGTGAAGACAGTGCAGAGGAGGAAAAGCAGGTGGGCAGAAAGCACAGGAACCATCACAGTGATGTTGTTGAGAGCTCAACCCAGGCGGTGGGTGAAGCTTGAGTGGACAAGGTCTGTGTGCTGGGGCCGGGGAGGGGGCAAGGGTTTAACCAACTGCATGACAACCCCTCTGCCCTTTCCTGGTCTCCTCCAGGCATCCAGCCCACTCCAAGGGAGCTGGTGGCCTTACCTGGAGGCTATTCTGGTGAAGTACTCGTAGGCATTATCCCTGGTGGGCTGCAAGGACTGCAGCATGTAGCGGAACTCGGCGTCGTACCGCTCGTTGATGTCGTCACCGATGATGGCCAAACGCTTCCCCACCTGGCTCCCGATGCTGCCCGGGGGGAAGAGCCACCAGGACAGGTCAGCAAGACCAGTAAGCACGACAGAAGGGTGGGTCTGTAATGGAGCCTGGCTCAGGACAGGGCTGAGGGTTGGTGTCAGAGTTTTACCTGCCCAGCTCCTGCTGGATCTCCACAATCTCTGGGTCCACAGGCATTTCCTCCCCTCTCTCCTCCCTCTCCTGCTGGTAGCGGTGGAAGGCGTAGCTCCGAAACACCTCCTCTGTCTCCTCTGCCACCTGGTCTTCTGAAAGAGACAAGAGGGAGAGAAGTCAAGGGAGAAGCTCATCTCCCCACTCTCCCAAGTTGGAAAGAGACCGTTCCCTCATTTCCAGCCTAAGTTAGTGCTGTTTGTATTAACACTGGCATTTTGTAGTAAAACAAAAAGAATCCAACATAGATTAGTTCTCAGAGAAGTAATTTTGAAGCCAATCCTTGTTCCTAGGGGCACAGGCCCACCTTTTGAATCCATTTTTGGCAAGAGACAGCAACAGGACTGACACAACACAAACCAGATGTGCAAGTGCTTGTGCTTGGCAGGTCTCTCCACGTGACTGCACCTCTTGGTGAGGGAACAGCTCAGCACAAACACGTTCACAAACCTTGGATCCAAACCTAAATTGGAGGCAAAGCTCAGCCTAACACTGCCCATCAACCAACAGTCTGGTTTTTGCAGTGTCACCAACAATGGTTCACTCGCTTGGCATCAGCACTGACGTGGGGAGAAGTTAAATTGGTCACTTTAGTAGAATAACTTGATGATTCAGTCACACATCACTGGTCCCACATACACCCATCAGCCCAGTAGCAGCAGTGCCAAGGCAGGGTTTGCAGCTCCTGCATGGGCTGCTGGCAGGAACAGAGAGCAGAGAAGCTTTTGAATAATTCAGACCCCAACCCAGATTGGTGACTCCCCATCCTGTGCTTGAGAGCAGGTAAACAGTCAGGTGATTAGGGGATGATGATGAGGGGACCAGAACATCTCTCTTATGAGGAAAGGCTGAGGGACGTGGGTCTTTTAAGTCCTGAGAAAACGGGGGGAGGAATCTTATCAGTGCTTATCAATACAAGGATTGGGCGTCAGGAGGATGGGGCTAGTCTTTTTGCAGTGGTGCCCAGATGATCTCCAGAGGTCCCTTCCAACCCCAAACATCCTGTGATGACTTTGAGCTGAGTCCCTGCTCCAGCATCCCCACTGCCAGAGCAGGAGAGGGAACACCTAAATCCCCTGCTCTGCTGACAAATACCCAGGGAAGCACTAAGCCCTGGTTTGGGTGCCACAGCTTCCTTCCCCCACCCCTGTACACCAGAAAGGCTCAACACACCAAGCCCTCTGGGTTCAGCGGGGGGACGTGTCCCTGTGGTAACGTCACCCGGCTCCGCGCCCGGAGCAACCGGCGCCAACAAGCGAGTGTGCAAACAGCTCAGGCTGCAGCCCCACACCTGTGTCCCCTGTGCCCAGGCTGCTCTGGGAGCAGCAAGGGTCTGGATCTGCCCCGTCTGGAGCAGGGAGCCCCCAGTGAGGTGTTTCTGTCCCGTAGGCACCATGGTGACCGATACCTTATCACACGCGTTGCGCTGCTGCTGGGGAAAGCACCGGGTCTGTCACGGGGTGTCTTTGACCAGAGCTCAGTTTCAGCTGCCTCGAGGAGCAATCTGGGCTGCAGCACCAGGTCCTAACCAGCAGCAGCCCAGGGCTCGGGGGCAGCTGGTCCTGAGGTCCCCATAATATGGTTCTTCCCCATTTCTTTTCTATGATGCAAAAGTTTTAGGGGACAGAAATGGTACGGAGAGATCAGAGCCCTGCTCCTCTGACAGGGTCTCACCACTCAGAGTGGAGATTCACAGACACTAAACGAGGAAAGTGAGCTGCTCTGGGGAATGTCAGAAGTGCAGGACCCTGCAGACCTCTGGGTTTAGGTGATGGTTCTGCAAGGCATGCTGGTGACATGCAGCAGACCAGCACATCTGCACCAGCAACACTGTGCAGCAGCAGTTCAGCTCCCTGCAGCCAACGCAGCTAAAACCCTTTCCCAGCATCCCAGTATAACCACTGCTCAGACTGGCCACGCAGTTCTCTGCCCACTGGAAAGTGCATTTCCAATGCACAGATGCTCCTGCCTGAGCAGTGTCCCAGGACAGGGACATGAGGACCTGGCTTGATGGACACAGCTTTGTAAAACCCCCTCTCCAAGCCTCCAAAACATGCCACGTTGTTGGTCACCAAGCTCCTCCAGATGGACATGGCCAGATCCTCCAGATGGACACATCAACATGGCCCACGTGTGGCCAGGGAGATGGGCCCAGCCCTGGATGGGGTGCAGGGAAGGGAGAGGACTCAGGTTACACCGACTGCAGGTTGGGTGAATAAAGGTGAAGGGAAGTGACAAACCCTGGTCGCTGTGTTTTCTGGGGCTTGTTTTTTGTTTTGCAGGACCAGGTTTATTTGGTGATAAACAAATCCCACCTTCCGGAGGAGCCAGTGGCTCCACCGAGAGCCAGAAAACGAAACTGACTGACTCACAGTTTCAGCAAGAGGCAGGGTAAACACACTGCCAGAATCAAAGAGGAAGTAAGTGCACAAAAAAAAAAAGCCTGGTTGTAATTACCCCAGGCACTCTTTTTAGTAACACAAGGACAAGAGAACATCTTTTTTTGCCCCCAGGTCCTCACTCATGGCACCCACTGGGACCATCTCCAGGTCTCTCCCACTTGAAGGAAGAGGATCTGGGTCAAGCTTTGCCTTGTGAACTCCCAGTACCAGCAGAGCAGAGTGGTTTGGGGCTCCTCAGGCATCTTTTGGCTCCCTGTGGGATCCCTGGGGCTGTGTTAGGGGCCTCCTGAGCTGGTGTGAACCCCCACACTGCAGGAAGACCTGCTCCACTTCTGCTGCATGGAGCAGAGTCCTTGTTGTCCTTGGTCCCTGGGACACTCTCAACATCCAGACCAGTCCTACCCCACCAGGACACCCACTGCAGCCCCCACTGACCAGACCTCAGCCAGTCTCAAACATTCAACATCTGGATTTCCCTGCAAGATCCTTTATTTCTCACCTGGAGAGCAGCTGTGCTACAGTCAAAACTGGCAGGTCTCACTGAAGTTATCCATCAGACCTTGCTAAAACTAAAGCAAATAACCCTGCTGCAGACTGGGCTAGTGACAGATGCAACCTGGCATCATCCCTTTGCATCCCTCAGGAGCCAGGCAGCACCTACACTGAGAGCTGCACCTCTTTACACAGAGGAAAACATCCAGCCTGAGAACACCAACTGGCTTCAAAGGGAGAAGACAGCTCCAGGGAACCAAGAATAGTCTCTGGAGATTTCTGCCTCAAAGGGAAGCTTGACTTCACCTCATGGTAGATGCAATTCAAGTGTGGGATGAGCAGCATCTGCATTAACGGATCTGGATTAGCTTCCATGAGGCAAGGAAGCACCTTGTGAAACCTACAGCAATGCCATCCAGGATCAAAGGCTGATCAACCTGATAGTGCATCATGCTGGCATGATCCTGCACAGCTTCCACCCAAGGGCAGAGCTCCTGGACAGGTAAATGGAAAACTGCCTTCCCCAGAAGCACCTGCATGTCCCTTCCTCTCCTTCTGCTCTTTAAGAACAAGCATCTTCCCACCCCAAAGAGGAGCAATATTCTCAAAAAGCCTCTCTGCAGAGCTAATGGGCAAACACCCTTTAAGATAGAAAAATAATCAATCATTAAGGGAGATTTTCTGTTTCAGATATTGGACTCAAGAAATCTGCATGAATTCTTATGTTCAGTGGTGTTCACAACTAACTAACAACAAGTGACAGATTCACAGTGTGCAGCTGGCCTCTTCTACTAGTTTAATCCCTTAAGGACTCTCCAGTGTCCCACCAACACACCCAGAGAACCAGGCCTGCAGCAGAGGCTGGGGGCTGCAGCAAGGTGTTGCTCTGCTTCTTTGCTGCCCAAGCTGAGACCTGTCCCATATTTGCAAAGGGAGCCCAGTGCTCAGTGGGATGCTTGAGATGGGTGGGCACCTCAGCTCTGCCAGCCTATCTCCCTTTTTCCCACCAAGTTTTTCAAAAAAAGATTTTCTGGGGCATCCTTTGCAGGCCAGAATCACAGAATCACAGGATCCCAGGGGTTGGAAGGGACCTGGAAAGATCCCCCAGCCCACCCCCCCTGCCAGAGCAGGGGCACCCAGAGCACATCACACAGGAACGTGGCCAGGGGGGTTGGAATGTCTCCAGAGAAGGAGACTCCACAGCCTCTCTGGGCAGCCTGGCCCAGGGCTCTGTCACTCTTACAGCAAAGAGGTTCTTCCTCAGATTCCCATGGAACCTCCTGTGCTCCAGTTTGCACCCAGTGCCCCTTGTCCTGTCACTGGACATCACTGCACAAAGCCTGGCTCTGTCCTCCTGACACTGCCCTGAACAGATTTGTGCCCATGGATGAGGTGGCCCCTCAGTCTCCTCTTCTCCAAGCCCAACAGACCCAGCTCCCTCAGCCTTTCCTCAGCAGGGAGATGTTCCCCTCCCTCCAGCATCTCTGTGGCTCTGCCCTGGGCTCTTTCCAGCAGTTCCCTGTCCTTCTGGAACTGAAGGGCCCAGAACTGGACACAATACTCCAGATGTGGCCTCACCAAAGCAGAACAGAGGGGCAGGAGAACCTCTCTTGACCTACTAACCACCCCCTTTCTAACCCACCCCAGGATGCCATTGGCCTTCTTGGCCACAAGGGCACATTGCTGGCTCATGCTCATCCTCCTGCCCATCAGGACCACCAGGTACCTTTCACCTACCCTGCTCTCCAGCAGCTCAGCCCCCAACCTGGACTGATACATGATGTTTCTCTTCCCCAAATGCAAAACTCTACACTTCCCCTTGTTGAACTTCATCAGGTTTCTCCCCGCCCAACTCTCCAGCCTGTCCAGGTCTCTCTGAATGGCAGCACAGCCTTCTGGTGTGTCAGCCACTCCTCCCAGCTTAGTGTCATCAGCAGAGAGGAGTCACGAGGCAACGCCAGAGCAGTCACTTCCCAGCACAGCCCTGAGAAAGGTGACTTTATTTTTCACTTTTCTTTTAAAAACGGAAACCACACATTGGTGGGAGATGCAGCTAAATGGGAAGTCTAATAGTAGTGTCTGTGCTGGAGACAGGAGCAAAGTGTGCTAAAATGGTTTTGGTTGCTCTGCAGAATGTATGAGATCCCAGGCTTCAACAGGCAGCTCACTTTTTTCCATTTTTCCTACTCATTTTGCAGGCAGTCTTGGAGCTGAAGAGACAGATCACAGAGGTGCTCACAGCTGCGTGGGTGACATCACGAAGCAACTATTGATCAGCTCATGAGTTGCTTCACATGCAACATCAAGTCCAGAGCTGAGACAAACAACCCAGGACCAAACCTCAGGCCTCTCAAAGTACGTTACATGAACTGAGTATTAAACCCACACAGACAGATGAGAAAGCCTGGGTGATGTGAGGATGGGGCAGTGCAAACTGGGAGTCAGGATGGCTGGGCAACCCTGACGCCTTGGACATCCTTGCAAAGAATCCCACCAAAGCTCTGTCCATTTCCCCAGTCCTAGTAAGTGGATGTAGTGATACAAAGTTAACCAAGTGCTTTGGGATTCCAGCTAACATGGTGCCCACAGGAGCTAAGTGTGACCACAGAAACAGTATTTTCATCACATGGACTAGCCCCTCTGCAGGGCAGCTGAGCTGCTTTTGCCACGGTTGCCTGCAGGTGTGATGCCATCCATGGGCTTGTCCCACAAATCTGAGCCTTGATGGAATTCTCCAAGCCATTCCCATAGCTGTGTGCATCCCCTGGCAGCAGGTCTGAACAGGGAGGCACTGCCACTCCCACGTTACGGATGGGAACTGAAGGAGGGCAAGGTTCCATTTCTGAAGTGTGAGCCCTGTTCCCGGAGCTCAGCTCAGCACCCTTGGGGCTGGGCCTCCCACCCCCCTCCTGCAATGTTTGTTCCCCTTTGCATGCCTCTTCATGAGCTGAGTTGCTCCTCCTCCTCTTCATCCCCTGCAGCCAGGAGTATCCAGCTCCTGCCTTTGTCTACAATGCCCTAAAAACACCCCAAGTGCAAATTCCCACCCAGCCCAGACAGAAGCAGCAGCATCTTGTCCATGCCCTGGGCAACAGCTGGTACAACAAGGGCTCAGAATGATGCTCAAGCAACTCCTTGAACAGCAAATAAATCTCTTCCCTCTCTACCACATCCAACAACAAACAAACCAACCAAGTGAGCTCTAAAAGAAAACCAGGCTTAACACCTGTTGACAAAAGCCTCTTCCACCCTGTAATCCATAGCACACCTTGGTGGAAGATGCTCATTTCTGCTGCTTTTGGAGTCCCTGAGGCTTCTGCCTAAAAGAAGCACAGAGGTCCCACCTCCAAATTCCCCCCTGCTGAGTTTTGGGAAGCAGAGGGATGCCAGTGCTGCCAGTAAGTGTGCACAAGCTTACAGGAAGCGTGACTGTAAAGCAGTGTGGTTAGAGCTCAGGGCCTGATCCTCTCACTGGTTTTCACATCAGCATCTCATGGTCTCAACAGGAAATCAGCATATGTAAACAACTGCTCTTAGTATTTATTTCCATACCCTGTAGACTTTGGTAAGGGAAGGACAAGGGATTTTTTCTTCCGGTGTATTCATGCAGGGTCTAGCCCAAATGGTACTGAGATGGAGAGGAGTCCAGACAATACCAGAGTATAAATAACATTATCAGGCCAATAAAACAGCTCTGAGCTGGATCTGAGCTCAAATGTATAAACATTTAGGTATAGCTTCTGATCTCATTATTGACAGAGCTGCAGTGACTCAGCCTTATTTACAAGTCCACCTGTAAAACAGGTTAAGAAGTCATCTGTGTTTAACAGCTTTCTGTGCAGAGGCATTTTATCATTTTGGGATGAAATGGGAGCTGAGGTTTTTCCTGAGCTCCTTTCGGCCCTGTTCCCAGTCTCACCCATTAGTGTGAAACACAATTACACAGTCTGCTGGGCTCAGCACACAGGAGAAATGGACTGAGCTGCTCCTGAACGTTGTGGAGCTGTAACTTTTCATCACTGCTGTGCCAGGGCACACTGGAGACCAGATGAATCACAGAATGGCTGGGGGTGGAAGGGACCTCTAGAGATCAGCAGGTCCAACCCCCCTGCCAGAGCAGGATCACCACAGAATCCAGGGCAGGTCACATTGAAACCAGACAGGTCTTGAAAGTCCCCAGAGGAGACTCCACAATCTCTCTGGGCAGCCTGCCCCAGTGCTCTGCAACCCTCAGAGTAAGGAAGTTTTTCCTCATGTTGAGGTGGAACTTCCTGTGCTTTAGTTTGCATCCATTGTCCCTTATCCTATAACAGGGCACGACAGAAAAGACAGCCCCTCCTTCTTGACATGTTCAGATATTTATAGACATTAATAAGATCCCCCCTCAGTCTTCTCTTAGCCAGACTAGGCAGCCTCACGTTTCTCAGCCTTTCCTCATATGACAGATGTTCCAGTCCCTTAATCATCTTTGTAGCCTTTGTTGGACTCTCTCAAGTAAATCCCTGTCCCTCTTGAACTAGGGAGCCCAGAACTGGACACAATACTCCAGATATTGTCTCACTAGGGCAGAGGAGAGGCAGGAAAAAACCTCCCTTGACCTGCTGGACACACATGCAGCAAGACTGAAACCAACTGCCTGCCACCAGGCATGGTTTTATATGACTTTTAAACATCAAGCACCTTTCACTCTCTTGTGCTTAGGGAAGGGAAAGTCAACGACAAAAGGCACCAGCCATGCCTCTTGCAGCCAGCTGGGGTGACCTGCCCCACCAGCCCCTCTGCCCAGGCAGAGCTGCCAGCCTGCCCCAGGCCTGCAGTTCTCTGCACACTGGTTTCCCTGTGCCTTTCAAGCCCCCCTTGCTGCCCCCCCTGCTGATCCAATGCCAGGCACCCCCTGAAAGCACCGAGCCTGTGCTCTCCCTGTCCAGCTCAGCATCTCTTTGTGGAGCTCAGTTGTTACCCCAGTCTTGCAAAAAGCCCTGGAGGCACAAAGAAACCCCACAACAAACCACAACATCAAAGAAACGCGGGAGAGGAAAAAAGGGAGGAAAAAATAAATAAATAAAAAGAAGAAGAATGGGTTGAAAATGCTTCTTCCTCCCCTGGCCATCAGAGCAAGGTTCTCACCTGAGTTGGGCTCCTGTGACATCCTGCGGCCGCCGCCGCCCCGGGGTCCCCGCGGGTCACCCCCCTTCCCTGAGGCCATTGCAGAGAGATGCTTGGGAGTATCAGCTTCACCTGGAATGACAAGAGGCAGTCAGCCCACCAGGTGATGGGCAGTGGAGCCCCCTGCTCCCTCACACACCTGCCAGGCTCAGCCTTAGGAAGCCCCTTTGGCTGCTGCCCGGTTTTGTGGCTGCCAGAACTGGCTCCTCCCTTCCCAGCACTGGCTCCTCCCTTCCCGGCACGCTCACTCCCTGATTCCTGGCCACACCAAGTCCCTTGCCCGGATTTTTCCCCTCTTCCTGATTGTCTTCACAGGAAGGGGTTTGCCAATAGATCCCAGAAGCAGAAAGTCACCCAAGTCCCTGCTCCACCACCTCCTCACCCTTGCTGGAAACCAGCCCTGCTCAGTCAGTGCTCTGGGCTCCACTTGCTCATAATCAGCCCAGACAGTGTCTGCAACAGCTTCACGCTGGGATGAAAGCAAAAATCAGTGCACAAAGGGCTCCAGGCTCCCTGCCTGCAGCCAGAGATGGTGTCTGGGAGCTGAGCCGTCGGGCTCTGCTGCTCCCCAAAACGCTGTGACCGACCTGCAGCCACCACAGCAAGAGCAAACCAACCTGCACCCACAGTGCCTGTGTCTCCTTGCAAGCAGCTCCAGCCTGTTTCCCACAACTTCTGCAAGAGATGAGCCCTCTGGTTTCCTAAATCCAGAGGCCCTAATTCCTCCCGTCCTTTATGTTTCCTATTCTGAGCTCCACTCAGAAAGTGAAATGAGACCCAAAGACATGGCCCATACTGCCCATGAACTTCACAGGTGTCCTAGATCAGTAGTTCAGGGCTCTTTGCAGCTCCTTCACCTCCCTCTGCTCGTTGCTCTGACTTCACCCCCTGGTTTTTGCAGAGAAGGAAGCGAAGCCAGCAGTTATTATCAGGGTTAGAGAAAGATTGTTGCGGCTCCTGGCCCTCCCTGGCAAGCCCGTACATGTTCCCCTGGCCAGACAGGGCTAAGCTGGTGGGTTTTCTGATTTGCACCTTGAGGACATATATTGACACCCAGAAATGTAAATTGTATGCTGAGCAAAAACAATTTTGAAAAGCACTGGTTCTGGATAAATAACCACCTATGTCAAGATGAGAAGTGCAACACGTGGTCCAAGCTTAGAACTTCACACTGAAGGTTATTCAGAAGACAAAATAAGTTGAGACCATAAATGGTAAAAGTTCAGCCTGCAGTCAAGGTGGGGATGGGGGCTGGAAATGCAAAGCTCCCCAGCCTGGCTTAGAAAGCCCTCATGTATTTGCATAGCTGCATTCAGGGAGCTCGAGCTGCAGTGACACACAGATGGAGATGCTGTTTTTTCCTACATGCCTCCCAGGACAGGATTTCCCTTTTCCTCCCCAACCTCAAAGATCCCCATCCACGGAAAAGCTGAAAATGTGATGAGGATTGGCAGCTGGGACTGAGGGTAAAGCTGGGAGGAGAGATCCCATTTGCCCACATCAGCAGAGACCCAGGCCCCAGAGCTGCTCTGCTCTGGGAGGAGCTGGAGGCAGCTCAGGGAGTGCTTTGAGCTGATGGATGTGCCTCTGCCCCCTCCTCCAAAGAGGAAACCCTTCCACACTTCATGTCATCCCCTCCTCAGTTGCTGAGCAAGGCTACAGCCCCAGCCCACCTGGCATGGGAAGGCCTCGTGTCCTCAGGGGGAAGCAAGACCAGACTCAGAGCAGCTCTTTGGAGCTGCTGGGTAAGCAAAGCAGAGTGAATTTCTACCACACTTCACACTGCTCCATCCAGAGGCTGCCCTGAGTCCTTGGGGAGGATGCAAACACATCCAGGCTAAGAGTTCAGCTGCTTCTGGAGCTTTTACAGTTTGGGCTGTAGGTGCAAGTGGTTGTGTTTCACATCAGCACACTGTGACCCAGACCTCAGCCACGAGTAACAGGGAATTTTGGATGCAGACCTGGTTGCCCAGCATGAAGGTTGGGTAGTGAGCACAGGGCCTGAGGTGCAGCTGACTCATGTGATTCCTCACCTTGCTAAACCCTTCAGAAGTGGCAGGCTGTGACTGTGACTGTCACTTGAGAGGAACTTTCATTTTCAGTTTCCTTCTCAATATAGTTTCTTGCAGCTCTTTCCTCTCTTGCAACACAGGGCACCACAGCCCTTCTGCACACAGGCACGTGTGGGACTGGCAGCTACATCCCTGGCACCAGGCTGCTGGTTCCCAACCTGCTCCTCGGGGAGGACCCTAAACTCCTGCAAACCAAGATAGCTCACTGCCCATCTCTGCTGGGGGTGAAAGTTTCTCAGATCACCCTCTCCATTATCAGGAACGCTGCTGCCCATGTTCCTCCTGCTTCCCAGCCCAATGCCCCTCTGATTTGCCCCACTGCCCCTGTAAATATTGTGCTGGAAGGGAGCAGGGAGGGGCACAAAGGAAGATATGACACCCACACACTTAAAAGACAGCCCAAGGCTGCAGAAAATGAAGGCTCTCCAGGGCCTGAGACAGGGTTCAAGAAGGAGTTTGGGGGAGCTGCAGTCAAAAGATTCAGCTCCCCCCTGTATTTTTGGGCTTGTAGGAGGGCACAAAGGGTTAAAAGCAGCAGACAGCACCTGGGATGTGGATTTAGCACCACCACTAAGATGGCACAGGAGGTGTATCTTTATTGATGAGCACATGCCATGCAAAGAAACAGCCTTCCTGCCACCTGCCAG